GGTTCTCAGTCATCCAGGTCATCGTAGTCAAAGGAGCTTGCAAAGAAAAGCGTCTGGACTTCTTTAAGTTGCTTGAAGACGTTTCACGCCCAGTTTCCCACCTTGGCTCAGGCGATTAGAGGATCATCAGGGGGTCCTTTTGTCCCTCTGTGGGGGGTCACTCCCACTAGGTTTATATCTGGGACTCTCCACCATTTGACCTTAGAACTGAAGAAGCTTCTCGGATGAGAGGTGAAACGTCTTCAAGCAACTTAAAGAAGTCCAGACGCTTTTCTTTGCAAGCTCCTTTGATCAGTTTCCACTCCTGTCAGCAAAGAACAGAAACAATTTGAACTGGTTCATCCAAAACTGGAGTAAGATTAGAAATCATTACCTGGTCTAATAAGTCTGGGTTTGAACTGTGAAATTTGAAACATAAGGTCCAATTTTGGTGTGCGCACAACCAGGGGCAGAGCGTGGGGGTGGCTTACTGGGCTTAAGCCCGGGTTGTTTTGTCAGAAGCCCGGGGTCTTTTGGAGTGTAATTTTTTCATAGTTAGATGTCTGGCTGACAACTGTTTAAAACACAAAGTACACACATATTCGAAGCACATAGTGTACACTGTCGGAATTTACGACTGTGCGTGAATCCCCCCTGATATTGGTATGATCCGAGCTCAGGCACTAAGCGACTGAGCGAGAGGGCGGGGCAGCTGCTGCCTGTGAGTGCGCTGTTGGAGAAACGGAGCCAGCCCAGTGTTGCCAACTTAGCGACTTTGTCGCTATATTTAGCGAGTTTTCAGAAAAAAAGACGTGAAAGAGTGTATGGCTTTTACTCTCAACAAGCAGCGGGTGCTGTAACGCAGTCAGTTCTTCTTTTACTCTTATGCTGTTTTGTGGATCACAAGGTTTAAAACTACTTATAAACACACGCACACAAAGTAACTCCACCAGAGTGCCTATTTTGGGTCACTTTTGCCGGTCCAATCCCGGGTAAAGGAGCAGGGTTGGAATTGTGACATTAAAAAAACAATAATTGCTAAAAGAAATTTAATTTGTAGTTCTAAATAAACTCTAAATGCATTTAGGACGTTTTTTACTCACTTTATGTCTCTTCCACGATGTTATTTCTCTCTCCAACAACATAGGTTACAATTAGATTAGCATGACCAATTATGCAAATTAGGCGATGATGTCATTTAGCGACTTCTAGCGACTTTTAGGACAACCAATAGCGATTTTCCTTACTGAGGAGTTGGCAACACTGAGCCAGCCATACTAAGGAGAGCTTAAGTTTGACCAGGTACCAAAGCAAATCATTCGTACCGTACAAATAATGTAAATATGACGGTGTATCACGAAAGATTGATATCAAACTGATCACTTGACCAATATTACGTTACTTGCTCTTCAAGTGAATCAACAAATGGCGAAATGAAAAGCCAAACAAATGCTATTTTTTTAGAGAGTCTTAGCTTACGTGTGTTTATTTCATATTTTCAGTTCTTACCCTCCCCGACTAAATCGGTTTCAGTTATGTACTGAAATATAAGAATGGACATTAGAGGCTTCTTTCAAAGAAAAAACTCAGGTAAATGTTATTTTATATATTATGCTTTGTATGTTGTTCAGTATATTTCTATGCAAAACAAGAGGGATTTCAGTACACAGCAGGATATTCACATTTGTGACCAGATATTTACATACACTTTAGGGAGAAAACATAAAATATTTTTACTGTACAACATCAATTTAGAGTAAACTTTTGTTTTAGATAAATATTGAAATATCTTTTGAATTAGTTAAATGTCAGAATAAAGAGAGACAGAGCTGTCTATTTTTTATCACTTTGATCAAATTTAGGAGTACATATACACTAAGTTTATTGTTAATTAATAAGAAAACTCCAGACGATTCCATTCTGAGCTGAAAAAGCTTCTGATAGGTTAGTAGAGTCCATGTGAGTAAATTGGTGGCACACCTGTGGATGCATATAAGGCAAAACACAGAGTCTGTTTCTTTGAAATGGGAAAATCAAGAGATGTCAACCAAAACACCAGAAAAAGAACTGTGGAGCTCCATAAGTGTGGCTCAATTTTGAATACAATTTGGTGCCATTTGCAATTAAGAAATACAGATAGTTTCTCTCTTTACTCTTAAAGTTAACAAATATGTTTTTTATATTTATCAATCTAAAAAAAATAAACATTTAGTCTGATTTGATGTTACAATTATAAAAGTGTTTTTATCTGAAGAGTTTGTAAATATCTGGTTTCAACTGTATATTTGATGATTGTCAGCACAGAGAGGGAGAGAGAGGAGCAGAGAGGGAGATGCAGAATGAGGAAAGAACAGAGATGGAACAAGAGCAGGTAGACACACATGTTAGTCAAATGGTCGTTTGCCAAAAGTATCACCGTATCATAGGTCCTCATGTATCTCATACCTAGTGTTTCTTTTTAGGTTTGCTATTTTTCAAATTCTACATTTATTAAGTTATGCAGGCTTGTTTGCACAACAAGGCTAAATAATTATATAAACTTTTCTCAATCTAAATATTGTACTTTGACAGAATTAAAAAACAAGTGTAGTGCAGGTCTATGATGATTTTTAGTGCTACTATCATCTAGTTCTGATTCTGGTTCTGTCTTGGTTAAGTCCTCAGTAGTCCTGATTTTGAACTGTTGTAGTCCTGTTTTAATTCCGGATCAGTTCTGGGTCTGGTTGAATTGGGGTTTAGTCCTCGTGTCTTGATGCAGCCCCGACTTTGTTCTGCCTTGCTGCTTAATTAAAAAACTAGTTTAAGGTGTCCTGCATATGTGATATATATATATTTTCCCTATATCAGGGGTGCCCAATCCCGGTCCTCGAGAGCTACAGTCCTGCAGCTTTTAGATGCATCCTTGTTCCCACACACCCGAATCAAATGAATGGCTTGTTATCAGGCCTTTGCCAAACACGATGGCATGCTGAAGAGGTAATCAAACCATTTGATTCAGCTGTGTTGGAGTAGGGATGCATCTAAAAGCTGCAGGATAGTAGCTCTTGAGGACTGGGATTGGGCAGCCCTGCCCTATATGAAGTCATTCTTTTTTTAACAAAACTCAAAACAGAGCCAATTAATCTTTCAGTCATTTCTTTTTAACACTGGGAAAAAAATCACTTTACAGTACTGGTTTTAAACATTGTTTCTCACCCCTTTATTTCATGACAAAACAATGACTCTTGGATAGACTGAAGTTTATTTAACTCCCTTTATTGTCTAATCATCTGACACATGGTACAACATACAAACAAGACAGCAACCTCCACCAATCGTACATTCAATACATGTATCAAAAAAAATTAAGATGACTAGCTAAATAGTAAACAAAATTTGGACAAGAATGAGCCTTTTTAATTTCATGTACTAGTTTTAGGAAATTTGCTGATGGGAAAGTTATGAAATCATACTATAACTTTTAAGAGTTCAGCAATTTTAAAATCCAAAATTCATGTACCATCTGTTTGATTATACTTTGATTGTATAGTCCTACTAGCATAATTTAACCCCAGTTAATGTCAATAGAAATATTAAACCTGACAAAAACAACCTGCAAATCATCAGAGAAGCATCATTCTCAGTCAATGTTTTACAAAATATACCATTTCTTAGTAAAAAAATAAAACACTTGGATGCACACCTATGTCCAAAACAATACAATCAAGGTGAGATGAACTTACAACAGATACTGATACTTCTTTTTAAGAATAAAGACGCTCTTAAAAAAAACTGAATACAGTGGTCCCTCGCTATAACGTGGTTTGCTGATTTATTTTATTTTATTTTTTTAACAGCACATTGACAATGGTCTACAGCCAGGACGCAGAACACAATCAATCTTGTGCCGTGTTATATAAATTATATGCACTATGCCTGTACAGAATGCGTTCAGCTTGTCAAATTTACACAAATTGTCGATCGCTTAGAGTGTGACTCTGAAGTGCTGTACAGTATGTTTGTAAGTTTTCTCCCCAACAAACACAACAATGCTGACCAAACGTTTGGTACCGTCAAAGTCAATCACGGGTGCCTTAGGTTTCATTATATAATACTGGACTCATTTTTCTACGAAGGTTTGAATTTTGAGAGAGTTTAAACGAGAGAAAAGTGTATAAATGTTCATGCCTGTCTGAGAAAAGTGTATGAAGTGTGCTGTGAGGGGTTTTACAGACTTAAAACATCTATAATAATTGTAAAAAATAAAGTTGGCTACTTCACGGATTTCACCTATCACAGGTTATTTTTAGAACATATCTCCCGCGATAAACGAGGGACCACTGTACTTCAAAATGAGATGGTAGTTAAAATATAATTTTGATGACATATGCTGGATGACATGAATAAAAATATGAACTACACACTGATGTTAGAGGATGGGTTGCTGTAAATTATTGTATTATTGTAACAACAGTTTGTTCATAACTGTCAATAATACTGTGCTAATAATAAACATCAACGTGAAAAATTGGTGAGTCAGTGTTTATTGATCATGCCCATTTCATCTTTTTAGTCTTTGGTTATAAAATATATACTTAAATAATATCTTCTTGCTCTGTTAAGGTATCTACTCATTTTTAAGTGCTGTAAGCTCAAATAAATACATTGGGAAGAAAGAAAAATACATTGGAAGTTAGGAATTTACTGGTCCCAGGCTTGGTTTATGCAAACGAATCAGATAAGACAATTACCCATATACCAAAAATGGTGTCTTAATAGATCCTAACCCCAAAGCAATGCTGTCAAAAAATAAAGTGAAAGTAATAAATAAATTAAAATCAAACCAAAAAAAAGTTAGCAGCATACGTTAAGGATCCTGCAGGTGGCTTAAACACATTCTGGAATAAAAATGATCAGACTAGTAACTCACCCCTCCCCCCCAAAATTGCAAGGTTTATTTGGATTAAAACCAGTGCTAAAAACATGTCTTGAAAATACTGCAGGAGAAAAAAAAATACACTTGTTGAGCATTTCCTTTTTATTTTTTTCTCCCAAATTAATTACTTGGGACTTTATTTGCATTCTGACATATTTTCAGCTATCATCTATCACTACATTTCAATCACAGTTTCATTTCTGCATTTTATCTGTGACTTGATTTCTTAGGCCACTGTATGTTGAAACTCTATCAAGTTTAAAGCAGAAAATTAACCAAGATTTGACTAACTTGGACTAGGCTGTGACCAGGTATGGTTCATCTTCAGCACTGATCATCAATCAAAGTAATAATTCTGCACAAAAACAGCATCAAAGCCTCTGTAAACAGGAGGAAAGTTGTAAATGAGAGCTTTGTCCTCCTCATCAGGACTGGGGTAATGATGGTGGTTTTTCATGGCTGGAGGAGAAAAAGGAGGAAAGAAAAGACAACACAAAGTAGTGGAGTAGTTTAATAATACAGCAGAAAGGCTACTCTCTTTATAAAAAGTGCTGAATGACTGTTATGCATCAGCAATGACTTAAACATAAATGAACCATTTGCTGCATTAATTCACAAATTCCAAAATGTCTTACCACAACAAACATCTCAAATTTAATCACCAAGTTAAAAATGTCAGTGTTTTGCTCTGCATCAGAACTACTGTTTCTAGGCAATAACAGTGTTTGTTGAATGTACTTTTTTTTTTATATTAAAAAAATATATTTTTAAACACACAATATGATCAAATGCAATTTCAGTGATGGGATCTAGAAAATCAAATGATTAAAGTTTTAATTTTGAGAGGTATAAAACAAAATATACTGCTCAAAAAAACAAAACAAAGGACACTTTTTAAAATCAGTATTGCATCAAACTACCGACTACCATTTTTGATTTGCTGCAATGAAATTTCGGACTAGCATGCCGCATCATTTTTCACTTTTTTCTGTGTGAGAATTCACCCGTTTATAAGTTGATAATTTTAATTTCCATCAAACAATGTAACATCCTTTAATTCCTAACACACGCCATATCAGTATAGCTATTAAACATTTTTCCCCTATTGAGATCTGACATGTTTTCAAAGTTTCTTTAATTTTTGCAGCAGTGCATAAAAGTGGCTGTAAATCGTAAACATGTTTGGGGATCCTCTCAAATTAAAGCCAAATGTCTGTGCTTCAGTGTTATCGTGGGATTACCTTGGCCTCCAGTAACACTGTGAGGAATTTTGGAGTCATTTTTAAACAGGATACATCCTTCAATGCAAACATTAAGAAATATGTGGGACTGCTTTCTTCCATTTGCGCAATATCTCTAAAATTAGAAACATCCTATCGCAGAGAAAAACTTGTTCATGCATTTGCTACTTTCAAGCTCGACTACTGTAATTCTTTATTATCAGGATGTCATGAAAACTCCCTGAAAAGCCTTCAGTTAATCAAAATGCTGCAGCGAGAGTACTGACAGGGATTGGCAAGAGAACATATTTCTCTTAGATTGGCTTCTCTTCGCTGGCTCCCTGTTAAAATCCTTCTTCTCACATACAAGGTCTTGTATAATCATGCCCCATCTTATCTTAAAGACCTTATAGTACAATATCCCCCCAGTAAAGCACTTCCCTCTCAGTCTGCAGGCTTACTTATGGTTCCTAGGATATTTAAAAGCAGAATGGGAGGTACAGCCTTCAGCTTTCAGGCCCCTCTTCTGTCTCAACCAGCTCCCAGCTTGAATTTGGGAGATAGACACCCTCTCTACTTTTAAGATTAGGGTTAAAACTTTCTTTTTTGACAACGCTTATAGTTAGTGCTGGATGAGGTGACCCTGAAGCTACCCTTAGTTGTGCTGCAATAAGACCTAGGCTTGATGCACAGAGCATTTCTCCTTCTCTCACCCCTTTTTCATTCACCATGTGTTTATACACCACTCTGCATTTAATTATTAGTTACTATTATTATTCTCTGGCTTTCTTCCAAAGCATGTTTTTTTGTCTTGTCTCCCTCCACTCACCCCCAACGGTGTGGCAGATGACTGAGCCTAGTTCTGCCAGTGGTTTCTTCCTGTTAAAAGGGGAGTTTTTCCTTCCCGCTGTTGCCAAAGTGCTTGCTCATAGGGGGGGTTGTCTGATTGTTAGGTTTCTCTCCATTATTGTCTTTACCTTACAATATTACAGCAAGTTCCTTGGGGAAACTCTAGTTGTGATTTTGTGCTGTATACTTTAAATAAAATTGAATTGAATCAAATCCTGATTATTTCATTTTCAAGTCTACTATAGTGATGTGTAGAGGCCAAATTATTAAAAACAAAATACGTGATTGTCCTAATATCTACAGGCTGGACTTGGATTGGACAGACTTTGTGTTACCTTCAGAAACAAAGAAGCTGGCAGTGTAGAAGCTGGCCCTTACAGCGGAAACAGAATGAATCATTCCTGGCTTATCTACCCACTCAAAAGGACTTTTCTCTGGATGCCATTGCACAGCATAAAATGGGTAATGGTTGGCTGAAAACAAGAGACATTATTAATATTGTTATTTCAAATCATTGTCATCAGCACAAACTTTTAAAAAATAGGTTCATCAACACAAAATATGTCACAGCAAATTTAATTCCAATGTTGTTTCCCTAAAAACAAGTTACGGCAGTGGTTCCCCAGCTTTTTTTGCTAGCTAGGCCCCCCTGTTTTACAAGAATATCTGCCCACCCCACAGCTCTGCGCCCCCCCACTTTGGAAACCACTGAATCATGGAGTGATCAATTATATTTAAAACAAGAAAAATATGAGTGACTGTCATCAGAGAGTTTTCCTGTTGGACTGATCCAAGGTTTCGAGTTGTACAGTGGTGCTGCCATCTGGTGGATAGTTATGCCAAATTTCATGCTGACCTCAAATTCAGATAATTTTTTTTGTGTGTTTAAGACAGCAGAATAGAATCCATTATGTAATGAATGGCATGGAAACTACAGGGTAGTTAATACATGTTACCTTCCATAGTAGAGATGAATTCTTTCTTTCCATCACTGTTAGTGGACAGGATCTTGTAAAACCTCCTGAGTTTGGCATTTCGACTGTAATTCTGTAAATGGAATGGTAAATGATAAATGGATTGGTTCTTATATAGTGCTTTTCTACTCTGAGCACTCAAAGCGCTGTATACAACTTGCCTCATTCACACAACCATTTTTTTTTAAATATCCTTTCTACGCAAGTGCTTTCTATCTAACATTCACATGCATTCATACTTAAGTGAATGCATCAGAGAACAACTTGGAGTTAGTATCTTGCCCAAGGATATGTGGCACGCAAACTGGAGCAGACGTGGAGGTTAGTAGGTGACCTGCTCTACCACCTGAGGTACAGCCACCCTAAGTGGTTCAAAAACACCAATTATATATTAATAGATGCATTTCATAATAAAATAATGTTTTTTTTAATATTTTATCATTCACAATCTACTGTTTGAATATTTTACTGTATACAGTAACCATTTACTTTCTCCCGTTTGGCTACAGCAGGCAATGAGGTGTGTTTAGGGTGACTTTGTTAATTTGAGTTTCGATGAAACTGCCATATACAGGCATTTGTTTCTACACCTTTATTTTGTTTGGGTTTACTGTGATAACCATCATGCAACATGTTTACAATAATACAGTTAAGTTATTTAATTTCACTTAATGTGTGTTAAAATCTAAGTAGTATTATCTTTTATGTTTAAGAAACGGTGATGTTGCTGAATTGCTTTTGTTTGGTTAGTTCTCACGATGATGACGACGCTGCGTGATCCTGTCACTGAACGCTGAATAAATCATCTGTAAACAAGAACTTGTCCGTGTGGTGGCTGACAGGAGCAACAATATCTGTCCACTTTTAGACTTGTTGAAAGACAAATGTGGAGCCTCATTCTGGACCTTCTGCAGACCTTTCATGTGCGTGTTTGCAATTTATTTCTAACAACACCAAAATTTGAGATACAAGCCAATAATTTATTTGGTCAAAAGAAGCGCAATTAGAGCACATGTTCAATCTCCATTTATATAAATTATATGTACAATGTGGAAGATGATAATTTTCTTAACGGCACACATTCATGGAAGAAAAGCTTACATTTCAGCTCCTTTGTTGCTGAGGTGCACTGTCATGTTAGTATGCTAAAGTAGAAAACTAAACATAGTTTATGCTTATGTTTACTTTCCACCCATAAGTACTTCACCAGAAATTTGTAGTAATATCCAATTTCCCTGGGTAATTTTGGACAGTTTTCAGGACAGTTTTCAAAGGTGTTTCAGGTGTTTCTTGGTTTAAGTACGATGGTACTTATGAGACTGTATTTTAAAAGAAAACCCCCCCAAAAAAAACAAAAAAACAAAAACAAAAAAAAACAAGGAAAAAAAACAGATCCCTTGCAACCTGTTCTACTTCCATTAACAGATTGGTATATAATAAACATTTTAAAAGTTTCAGAAAAAATAAATAAAACAAAAACTTCACCTATGACAGGAAGAAAAGAAAAAAAAGAAGAAGCAGAAATTACCTGCATGGACAGACTCCAACTGTGGAAGTTTGCAGTGATGTTTTCACTAGCCAAAGACCGCAGCAAATCTTTGGGAAAATTCCGGAATAATCGGCTAGATGGGGCCACTAGCGGATGGATACAGATTTGTGTCACAGAGAATGACAAGGAGTATATTTTCATGGAATAAATATATAAAAATATGCTAATTTGAATGACTCTGAAAGAATGTAAGCCAACTTGTATCTAACCTGACAAAATAACCAAATGGAATAACAGAAAGTAACAGAAAAACCTGATGTGAGTGTCAGAGGTAGAGCCACAGCCTTAGTATCAGTAAGCGTGAGGAGGTTTTTGTTGGCAGTCAGGACAGTGAGCTGCTGGAAGCCCTGGCAGGTTCCCCAAATAGGGAAGTAGTCTCCAGCATCATTGCCCTGCAGGACCAAGGAGTGAATAAAGACAAGGTACCAATACATGAAGGCAATGGCCATTATTTTTAAGCCTAAATCTTTAGATAGCTCTAAAGATTTAGATATATAAAAAAATCTCAGGGTCGTCAGTCCTGATAGACAGTTAAACAAATCAAAACCCATACCTTCAGAGCCAAGTTGTAAAAGATCTTGGCAGCTCGACTGAACTGTGACGTCTGAAGATCTACATCTCCACCTGGCAACAACAACCTGAGGAGCCACAATTTAGACAAATAAGCTAGGAGGTGCTTCAATGGAATTGTGTCTACCTTTTCAAATTTGTGTAAAAGCAATAAGTACAATGCCTTCAAGTGTAACTCTTAATATCTCATGTGTTAAAATTACAACCAGTAAGCATATAGAAATGTTAAAGCCAGACATTATAGATACTAGAACAAAGGTCTGAATAACTTCTAACGAAACTGGATGGATGCAACTGATGTGCAGCAGTGAGAAAAAATTTTTAACACTTAAATGGTGTGCAGTTAAATCATGCCTTTTGAACATACAGCTAAGCTTCATATTTCTGTCTATTTCATTAGAATATACTTTTCATTCACCAAATCACATGCCAATAGAAAACGAGTCATTATCATGAAAACTAACTTGAGGTTCAGTGACTGTCAGGTTTGCCAACAACCTGTTCTCTATCATGCTTAGACTCTCTAACCTACATATGATGTGTGTAACAAGGGAAAGATCCCCACAGCGCAGCTGATGTGTGTGTACTTGTTAAGGCACAGCACATGTGGTGGTCTAATAACATGAATTGACATTGTAGCGATTAAAGCACTATGTGCCTGTAGCGTCTTTGGTTAACCTTGAGTGTAATATCTTTCTAAGCGGCCTGGAGTCAGAAAGATATTCTCTCCACTCAGAGAACCTTGGTTACAAGGTAATCAACCAATCTACAACCTAAGCCTTGACCACCCTCTGAAGCTTATGAGCCAATCCAATAACCTATGTTGCTGCAATATAACATAAAGAAAGCTTGCAGTACAAATTAAGTGTAAATAAAGACAATATCTGTTTAAGACCTACGATTACACCTTATTCGAACTACAACAAAATGCGTTCAGTATGAAAGACAACGGTCAACTTACCCGTTTATTGAGTTAAATATCTTGGCGTACTCTTCTTCTGTGCGATTGATTCTGTTAAAAAAAGAAAAAAGAAAAAAAAGAAAAACAAGCAAATGTAAGAAGTAAAATCCTTGCCTATGAAGGAAAATCAAATTAGTTATTAATCACATTTGAGGAACACTACTCTTATGAGACAAGTCATTTTGTCAGGTTTAAAATTATAGATTTAAAAAAAAAAAAACAAAAACAAAAAACCACACACACACACACACACACACACACACACACACACACACACACACACACACACACACACACAAAAAAGCAAACCTGAAAAATAAAGAAACGTTAGAGAAGAATCTCCAATCCCAATTCACTCCATAAACATTTGAAGAATTACACATTTTGTTTTCTAGAATTTTGCCTGTACATACCATGATGATAGATTTTAAATTAAATACTCAAGATAAAAACACAACACAGACTTTTTGGCTTAAATGCCTAGGAATTATAGCTATATTTATGTATCCTGATCAGGCATAACATTAAGACCAACTGTGTAATTGTGTTGCCCCCCCCTTTTGCTGTCAAAAGAGCCTAGACTCAACGAAGCATGGACTCAACTCCTGAAGGTGTGCTATATCTGGCACCAAGATGTTAGTAACAAGTCCTGTTAAGTCCTGTAAGTTGGAGGCTGGGGCTCCCTGGATTGGATTTGTTTGTCTAGTTTGTCCCACAGCTGCTTTATTGAATTTAGATGTGGGGAATTTGAAGACCCGGTCAGTATCTCAAAGTCATTGTTGTGCTCCTCAAACCATTCCGGAACCATTTTTGTTTCGTGACAGTGCGCATTATCTTGGTGAAAAAGTTAATAGCTATCAGGGAATACAGTTTCCATCAAAGGGTCTACATGGTCTGTAACAATCCAAATTTATTTATAAAGCACTTTAAAATACTTAGCACAGGACCAAAGGGCTGTACAGTAAATAACTTAAACAATGCAATGTTAACAATGCTTAGGTAGTTGGTATGTTCCCAAGTAGCATCCACATGGACCCAAGATTTCCCAGCAGAATATCACCCAAAGCATCACACTGCCTCGGCCAGCTTGTTTAATATGCTTTTGGGCCTTTCGTTGACACGTAAGCGGTATTTTGGATCACTGAAAACTGAGATTCTTAAAAACTCCTGCCAGGGTGGAGTTTTCAAAAAGTCACTTTTTGCATTTATTTGTGGACGAGGAAAACGGAGACTTAGTCACGCAACGTCAAATGTGTGCGCCTTTTTTGACGACATGCTGTGCGCCACATTATTATTTATGTGAGATGCATTTCTACAATGGCAGATAAAGACAAAAATACTGTTGCTGTTACTATCTGTAGTTTTTACAGGCTTACATATACACACGCAATTTTTTGAAACTGCACGTGTGGACGGGTTTTTATTTAATTTTTTTAACGAAAATGGAAAATCTCTCTTTTTCAAAAATACCCATGTACGGGTGGACGCAGCCTTAAATAACAGAAAACAAAACCATCTTTATGGTGTAATTATTTTACATGTAGTTATTTTTCTTTTTTTAACTGTGTAAGAATATTCAACGTGCCTGTCTGTGCAAAATGAGTTTAAAAACAAACAACTGTGGGATACTGTTTGTCCGTGATTTATACACGGGGAACAATTTGTGGCAGGATCAGCCTGACATTATTTGTATCCCACTGTAACTTTACTGTATAAAGAGCTAACATCTCCAATATTTCAGGAGTAGTTAATCATTACAACAAGTGTTTGTGAACTAAGAATCATGAATGTGGGATACTGTTTGTCCGTGAAACACGGATACCTACCTTGGCACCACCGTTGTGCAGCTGAAGCCAAAGGCAAGATATGCTTCATCATATTTTCTAGTCTTTGCCTTGAAAGGAAGTTGGTTTGGAAGCATATTTGGCGGTGCTTCATCTTCTGCTTTGTGTTTGTGTGGGAACCCTGTCAAAAACCTGTGCATTACACTAGCAGTGTCCAAGCATTCTTTTTTTATCCATACCATGCCCCCCACTTCGGGAATCACTGCCCTAGCAGGTGCCATAATGAAGAGATAATCAATCTTATTTACTTATGTTAGTGGTCATAATATTATGTCTGATTGGTATGTAGTCTACAACCAAGAGATGCTTTCATAAAAGTAAGTACAGAGTGTTTAAAACATGGTGCAAACCACTGGTTACACCGAAGAACGGAAAGGCCAGGTGAGAAAACATTAAAAAAAAAAAAAAAAAGTTTAGCCATGTTCTGCACTACAATTCTTTAAACAGATATTCTCTCTCTTTGCAAAATATTGCAAAAGCAACCCAGATGTATCATGAGGCAAAAAAACTGGGATACTCTTCAATGACCTGGTCAGTCACCTGTCAGCCCAACAGAGCATACCTTTAAGTTACTGCAGACAAACTCAAGGCAGAGAGAGCCACAAACAAGCAACTGAAAGCAGCTACAATTAGATGACGTCAGGATGGAGCATACTGATACTATTGTTTTATTATAACAATGTGCCTAAAACCTTAAATGCTACAAAGAGAAATAAATGAAAGCGTAACTGCCAATTAGATAGATAGATAGATAGATAGATAGATAGATAGATAGATAGATAGATAGATAGATAGATAGATAGATAGATAGATAGATAGATAGATAGATAGATAGATAGATAGATAGATAGATAGATAGATAGATAGATAGATAGATAGATAGATAGATAGATAGATAGATAGATAGATAGATAGATAGATAGATAGATAGATAGATAGATAGATAGATAGATAGATAGATAGATAGATAGATAGATTTATTTATTTTAGGGGTGCAACGATATTCGTATCGATATTGAACCGTTCGATACAGTGCTTTCGGTTCGGTACGCATATGTATCGAACAATACAAAATTTGTAATTTATTTGATCAACTTTCCTTCTGACGATGCTGTCTGTGTTGAGCGCTCAGTGAATCTGCGTTCGACTACTCCGCCTAGGCTCGACAGTGCAGCCTAGGCAGAGTAGTCGAATGCAGATTCACTGAGCGCTCAACACAGACAGCATCGTCAGAAGGAAGAGTGCAGGGCAAGCTAGCGAGACAGAAGTTAAGCTCTCCTTGCAACATGGACCTCCCCCACCCTCATTCAGATCTGGCATTTGGAATTATTTTGGTTTTCATGTGACGTATGACCCTGAAGGTAAGCGAGTCATGGACTAAAGTAAAACAGTATGTTGGATGTGCCATGCAATGCTCAATTACATGGGTGGGAACTAGTGTGTTAGCGCAGTTAGCTCGTTAACGTGTTGGCCGTCTAGCCCCATGGACGGGGCGATCTGCGGTAGCTCGCTAACGGAGATTTGCTGTGTTGTGGCTTTAAGGTCATTTCAACGAGATTAACCTGAAAGCACTAGTGGGAACACAACGAATATGACTGCACATTTACGCCGACATCATCCTAGTGCAAAGACAAAAACAACAAGCATGCTACTAACTTTAGCCGAGTCATTTAGACAGCTGTTAGCACATGATTCTCCTTATGCTGCTGAGAATATAGCCCAGAAGAAGCGGATAGTATAGCTTTTATTTTGGAAAGAGACATTTCTCTGTAATAAACTCTCTTTTCCAAAGATGAGTGATTCCTCAATCAGATACAGGGCTCGCAAAATCGCTAGCCCGACGTCCTGGGGCTAGCGATTTTTTTCAGTCGGGCTACCAAAATCTATCTCTGCCCTGCCCGTCGGGCTATTGTAGGAAGAAAAATATATGTCAATGCTTTTGCATTCTTTCAGAAATGTAGCTGGGTAATTATGTCATTGGCATCGGTGAGCCACTGTCAATATGTGACATATTGAAATCGCGTTTGAATTTGCGCTTGTTTTTTTGCTTTCACTTTGCAATCGTGCGCACTGTGTATAGAGAGCGACAGCACTGATCTGTGAGTGATGATAATTTGTGCACCAATTCCTCCGACATCGTCTTATTAATCGTTAGCTTACTATGCAAACATGACAAGTGAAATCTCCCGCAGCTTAAACATGTGAGAGGTTGATCGCGCAGAGAATCGCTGAGCTTATGTGAGTGCGTGTGTAAAAGCAGCAGGATATATATTTGACTACGATGACCTGGATGACTGAGAACCTTCACAGACAGATATATATTTTAGTTCTGCTGAGCCAAATAAGACAGGTCAGGGTGAAGAAGTGACAGCCAAAGAAAAGCTTAACACAAAACGGAGAAGTTATGACAAATCAGACTATAAGGCAAAAAGAAAGTGCAGCTTTATGGTTTCATGGACAAAAGAATTTCTGTGGCTGCAATATGACGAGCTATATAACCAGGGCTGCACATAAGTGGTCCGCAGGTGCGCATTCGCTGTCAAAATAAAAAACACGCACAAGGGTTAGGGTTAAATTTAAAAACTGTACTTTTGAGTTAAAATATATATTTATAATTTTAATAAATGACAAATTAAAAGGGCATGAACATTTTCTTTGTATCGAAAAAATATCGAACCGTGACACCAAAGTATCGAACCGAACCGTGAATTTCGTGTATCGTTGCACCCCTAAAAAAAAAAAAAAAAAAAAAATATATATATATATATATATATATATATATATATATATATATATAGCCTGCTAGCACGCGTGCCACTAATACCATAGACACAATAATTAATATTTTGTATTACTTCTACCACCCCATTTAAAGGAATCTTGTCTTTTGGCATAATGTCGTTCGCATTCCAAAGGTACCACCATTTCAATTTTGATTAACAGCTAAATCATGAACATTCATGATGTGTTATAATCCAAACAAGGTGGAATATCGTTATCAGTAAAAAGAAAAGTATGATGAGGTACTAAACATATGATGTGCACTAAGTGGCATGTGGCTCAAACAGTACTGAGATTATTGCAATGAATTGAGTCAGAGCCAATTTCTTAATCACCCGAAACATTTGTTTTGTACAGACAATTAGTCAGAAAAAAAAACACTTATTAAAAAACATATACAATTAAATGACTACTGTGTAAAACAATAAGTTGTCTGGTCGAGTAATGAATTTTCGTTTTGTATGCAAATCATATGTGAATTGTATGAGTGCTTCAAGGGGTGCTGAAAGAGACAGAGTAAATGCATATAAGAAATACACAGCAAACACATAGAGGTCATGAAGGGACCTGATGACCACAGGTTGGTCTTGGTGCACACAAGTATTATTAAGGATAATTTCCTTAAACTCATCTAACTTTCTTACCGAATAGGTACAACCCTGGCCCCAGCAGCCTCTAGGTATTTGACATAGGAGGCAGCTATGTAAGAAGACCCACGAGCAAACTGGTCCCATGGAAGGTTTTCCTGTGCCAACACACCTAGCAAGAACATAAGACACATGATATAGCAGATATTACGAGAAAGAACTCAAACAGTTAAAGTGAAAATGTTGTTTAACCATGGTTAAAGTTAAAAAGTTCACTGAAAAGGACAGATTTAGACAGGACTGTCATACTAAAAATGCCTAAAAAATTAAAATAAAACAACCCACCAAGGAGTCACTTTTCCTAAATTCTTTTCTGTGTACATAGTTGAAAGTGAACAAAGTAACAAATTTTGCATAGTATGATTTTTCATTCTGGGCTATCCTTTTTAAAAGAACACACTTTGAGTATTGTAAAATTAGATTAATATGGCCTTTATCAAAAACAACCAATTCAGTTACTAATGAAGTGAGATAATCTAATGAGTAAGCAGAACAATACTATTAAACTATAAATTAAAAGAAGAAAAGAGAGAAGCTAAGGGGTGGAAGTGAAAGCAGTGGGAGCAGCAGTCAACAGTTCGTTGAGACCTCAAATTCATTTCTTTTTGGGCACAGATATTCAAATGCCCCTGTGAACGCCAGCTGTTGGTTATCTTCTTTATCTGAACATCGCTCAAATTTATCTGTGAATCGTGATATGATTTTATTCTTTCAAATGTAGCCAAAGCTGAAGTTATTGTTAGACTTAAAATCTTGTGTCTATCCAGCTACTTCCTCTAATTGAAATCTCAGTTGAATTGGATTTAGCAATGAAACAGGTTGGGTGCATTACAGCAAAATTAGGTTCTCCGGAAAAGTGCAACATTAAAACTTGTTGATCCAATACATAGCATAGCCTCAATTAAAGGACAGGTCAAAAATACGTCCCAAGTGGGGTTAAAAGCAATAGGTTAAATATAATCTATTTTCTTATCGTTATTGATAGCATTAACACCATTAAACTTAAGAGTGAACAACATATAATGAAAATGTGACTTGCACTGATTTTTTCCCCAAATATTGGACCATGGCAATAAACACAAAGCAGACATCTTGAGAAGACAACCAAAAGTCTATGATCAAAAACATAATATCTCAATATAACAGCGCGTAAACCAATCCACAGGGAAGACATCCCCTTCCTCACTCACCCCCCAATCCGTGTAACACACCTTTTCTCGAACGTTCCAGACGAGAATTACATAAGACCCTTCAACTATCCACGTGTATAAACGACTTCTACGGGGACCAGTACTTACTAAATACAACCGTTCATGTGACCAAATCTTACCGATAATTGGTCGGTAATTGAGCTGCTGGCGGGTTCTTCCTACAGCACACAGAGCGGGTGAGCACCAGAGGAAGGCGGTCAGCACCGCGAAGATTGCTGCAGCTGTTCGAGGCATTCAAAACACCGCGCACAATTCCTAAAACAAAACCGCTGGAGGGGGCAATCAATGTCAGCTGGATTGCAGGCTGGAAATGAAAGATTACAAAAGTTTGTTGCTGTTTTGCCTGTTAAAATAACAAACAGCTGACAAAAAGGTTAAAGCGTTCATTAAAATGAGCAAAATTACAATGAAGCAATCCCAGAAATGATGCCGTCCTCCGGGTGCTGATGCTGTGCTCCAGGAGGTCGTCCGGCTTCTCTCGCAGTCCTCCTACTTTCCTCGGTCTGTATTCTGAGGTGTTCCGACTATCAAGTCAGTCACGTGTGGCACTCGCCTGCAAAAAGCAACGTCATCCTGAGTAGCCTCCTCCTTTCTGGTGCGTCCCCATTAAAAAGACAGAGATAGCGCGATCAGACGGCATCGTCAGACTCCTCCTCTACACAGGTACAGCTAAATACTGGGCGTTTGGGTTTTAACAAAGAGAAACACTGAGCATGTATGAGTCAGCTAAGACAAAATAGATTGCAGAATAACAGAGATGATTATAATTAAATGCAAAGTCGCCCGAAAGCATGTGGAAGTGTGACCCACAATGCAATTCCAGAAAAAAGGCAGAGGAAAACGTTTGGGAGAAATAATAAGAGTTATAATAATAATAATAAGAATGATAAGAATGATAATAATAATAATATCCCCAAAGTTTGATTCTGTTCATCTGGATGCAGCGTTTTCAGTGGGAGAAACGTTTCGTCACTCATCCAAGCGACTTCTTCAGTCTCAGCTGACTGTAGGTTTCCCCAATCTTATAAACAGTACATTTGCATAATAACTGAAACCAGCCCACTGAAGGAACAATGGCCCGGGAGATCAGTTCCTTGATCATTAATATGCAAATTCGCATGACCATTGATTAACAACCACTGATCAAAGTTCATTGATCAAAGCCCACTGATCAATGGCCATGAGTACTATTCACAGAGAGTTGGGGAATGGCTGCAATCACAGCATTGTAAGATGGCGAAAGATGTACCCTTAGGCCCCCTCCTCGATTCAAAGATGGTCTTTCCCTTTTGACTTAAATGGCCTCCTCTACTCCTCGCTCAAACTAGCGTTCCTCCCTGTCCAGAATGTGTACATCCTCATCCTTGAAAGAGTGTCCACTGGCCTGTAGGTTTAAATATACTGTGGAGTCCTGGCCTGACGAGGTGAAAAAATAATAATAATTAAATAATAATAATTATAAAAGGAAAATGATAAAACAGATAAATCCACTCACAACAATTCTTGTTTTTATCCTTAGAGCCTCAGTGTGTCAAAGCCCTTCCAGTGGCTACACCTGCTTGACTTCCACCACTACCAACAGAGATGGCACGGAGCCACACCGGTAGATCCTTCTACTGACTGATAATTGACCACAGGGAGTTTTACATCAACAAGCTGATTTATCAGAAACCTCCCTGACCTTCCTTCGCCTTTTGTACCATAGCCCAGCACACCCAACAGCGATGTGGAGACCCTTCAGCTGTCCCTCATATGGTTGAAGTGGAGGGCTCCAATTGACTCCATGCAAAAAAAAAAAAGGATGATGAGTCTCTTCAAAAATGTTATATTCAACTGAGTTCAGTGTTCACTACAGACGTTACGACTGACCGCCCTGTAGACCTGAGCAATGAGATTACTACCTCAGAAACCCACGTGAGAAACAGTTTTTTCATAATCTCTGAGGGGAGATGGCCTCAGAGATTAGTTGTATTTCTTGGAAAGAGGCCAACTAGAGGAGGTCAGGCATGATGTTGTTCATGTTAAGATCAACCTCAAAGTCTAGCAGAAGGAAAAGGAGAAAATGAAAATGAAAAAAAAAACCTCCAAATGGCAGCCCTAACCAAGCGTCAAGCTCCTGGCTGGAGAAGAAAACAGAATGATTTGACCCAAACATCTGAGCTAAGGACTGCTCCAACACAGACAACACTGTTGATTACAAGGATGGCAAAACTGGGGGGAGGCACAGGACAAACTCGAACCTACTCTGCCTCAGGTGACTCCTTAAGTTGATAGCACCACACCCACAGCACACACAGATGATAGCATATAGCCTATGTTCACACTTATAAGCTATTCCCTACCTTAAAGACAAATTCGGTCTCTCTAACTCCTCCACAGCTCCGTTTTCACTCTGTCCGGCCGTCAGGACACACAGTATGAGAAAGTTTTACTTTATCACTTGCATGTAATAATGAATTAGAGGAAATCTAAATTTAAATATGCATTTCGCCTTTTGCCTGCTGTCAGACATTTTTAATAAGCTATGATTTATTGTGCTGGGGTATCAGATTATTTTGACCTCTGAGGACCTCAATGTAGTTAAACCTGGAGGGTTTGAGCCTCTCTCTCTCTCTCCCTCTCTCTCTCTCTCTCTCTCTCTCTCACACACACACACACACACACACACACACACACACACACACACACACACACACACACACATATTTTGTCCCCAGTCAACTATTATTGTCTTACCAATGTAGACTCACAGCTGATAAGATAAGTGACCTATTTAGGAGGCAAAAAAAAAAAGATCCATCACACACTCTATGGTAGTTAGATTTCACTAAAACTAAACTAAATAATTCATAAAGGATATATTCATAGTTTTAATATATGTTAGTTTGGTAAAAAAAAAAATACAACTTACATGATGAGGGTTTGATGCACATGTTTACTGAGAGTTTAGATGTCTACAAGACTATGAGACAGCCAAAGGTTCAGTATTTTAATTGTAATACTTATACTGAGTTTCTTTAAATTTTGCCTGTGTGTGCCCTCCATAGCATAATCGTTAAAAAAAACACAAAAACAAAGCATTTACAGACTAACTGAAAACAGCAAAGTTAAAACAGAAATAGCTAGACAAACTAATTACAAAATGCACACACACCCATTGAGAGCAATTGTACCCTTATTCTTTATACCTCTATGGGAGAAGATGGGGACTTTGAGAAACAGTACTACAAACTCTTTGCTTTACTATAACAAGTTTGTTTGAGTGAGAACATAAATGTGCAGCTAACACACACACACACTTGAACATTTTTGATGTATCAAAATCTGGTCGTTGTGTGTGAGGAATGACGTGTGTTTAGGTACGACTTTATTGCGACAGAGCAGCAAGGTGTGATAGAATGATTTACCTGTGTGCGTCATGGATGAACTAAGTGATTAATGTCCTGATATGTCTTATATATGCATACCTAAGTCTGGCAAAAAAGCAGACACCACTATGTATGAAAGACAAGATGCAGAATGAGGATCTCATCTGAGCTTGATTGACGGTTAGCTCGGTTGGTTCCAGTGAGTCACACCTGATTCTGAGTGATAGCCTGAATTGTACTCTACTCCTGACTGGGTCCCTACTTATAATCCAGTCAGGAGTAGAGTACTCCAATACTATTTATTGATGTTTTGTCTCTACTTTGTTTCTCATAACCATTGTTACATTCTTACGATGCCTATTCCACGTAAAAACAGCAACATGCTTTCTGTATGACACACAGCAATGACCTAGAATAAACCTGTCTAGATTTTTACGTCTGTTGTTTGTGCCATATGTGTAAATGCACTTGTGTGATCAATGAATGATCAAAAAAGGAGGAGAGTAATGGAAAATGATAAGATTATGCTCTTCTCAGTGCCAAGGTGACCTAACTGAAAAGAAACTTCTATAGTATCATGTTTTGTCTCCATATGATCTTTTAATACAAGATATGCTCAACTGTACAAGTTATCTTTTGCACAGAATGTTCTGACTCTGCTCTGTGACCACGCCAAGTAGATAACTTGTGTCAATAAATTATTCTGTGCATGTTATTATTCTTTGTCTAAACCCACGCAGACTGCTGCTGCGCTCTAAATTGTTGTTTGATCCCTTTGCAAAGGCAAATTAAAACCCTGGAAAGAAAACCTGCTTAGGTGTAAATCAATTGATTTCAGATTTCCATAATGAGAGATGATAGACTTTCTGATTTAAAGTACCTTCAGAACCTGCAATCCATGTAGATAGGCCTTGCCAAAATAAAGAATATTTTTATTCTTTTCGTTTCGGGACTATTCCACCTTATCACAGTATGGCAGCTGTGATTTACACAAACCAGCCTAATCCTGCTTTGTACATTTTGCCCACACTGCATCTCTGCTGTAGTTGTGTTAATGTCAAAAGTTCTGCTGACCTGCACATTATCAACTTCACTGTTGTTATATGCCTTATTTTCTGTATTATGTCAGCAGGTTATTTCATTGTACACATTGGCTTATTAGACCAATTGCTGTTCTTATTGGTTTTACATTCCAACCTATTCAATTTTCCTTTTAAACATAGATAACATCATCTATGTATGTTAGAGAAAGCAGGGAGTGTGTTGGCATTTAAGCCCTGCTCAGCAAAGGTGCCCACTTTAAAACTGCCCTTTCTGTAAAGTCTGTCATTAGGGAAGTGAAGGCATATCCTCTGCTGGGCTATTGTTATCTAAGAGTTAGAGAAACAGAGAGAGATTGAGCTGTAGGTGAGAATGTGTAGGAAATGTGTTGAGAGTCAACACTGCGGCAAGGAGAAGTTGTTTTAGAGAGTGCGCATGTGCATTCTGTTAATTTGATTAAGTCAGCACTTTGTGTAGCAGGTAATACATGGATCAGTGACTTCACTTACATTACACAGTATTGCAGATGGACAAATTGCACTGCATCACTACTGACTAACCACAAGAGGCCGCACTCTTCCACCAAACAACCCTCAGCTTAATCCACAGTGTCCTTTTCACTTTGAGCGTTGTGTTTCAGGCACACTCAAAAATCACCTCATTCTTCAGACACATTGATTGTACAAGAATTTATCCCAGTCAGTAAGTAGTGGCCTTTTCAGGCCGTAACAAGTGTAGTCTGAGCTACACGCTGCTGGACTGTGAAACTGTGGAAACTCTCCTTGCTGAAAGAAAGCAAGCCTTGCTGTCAGAATAGGTGAAAAAAGATGAAGAAAGAGATAACGAAGGTTTAGCAAGAGTGACGGGTCAAAATATGACATTTGTTTAACATAACTTCTGCTAGAGTGGTAATTTAAAACTAGTTTAATACACAGGCCTACATGTAAGTGATCCATAGGAAAACCAAACCAAAGTTCTGAGACTGCATCTATATGGTCAGTCTTTCTTACTTACTTACTTACTTACATGAACTTGTGAATAAAACTCTATTAATTGACTTTTGACCCATAATAGACTGGTGATTGTTAGCCTGTCTGTAGTCAAATGTTGTAACCAATGTAAAGCTTTCATGGTTTGTAAATTCTTGCCAATTTGAGTTTGATCTGTTTATCCTTCATC